AGAAATCTGCAGTTCAGCTTTTTGAAAAGCATCCCTGTCTTTATATATTGACATTTGGTTTTGTATCTGCTAAAATCACCAATAAGCTTGTGGTAAGCACCAACGTTTTTATTTGTTTTGTTTTTAACTTTCATCTTATTTTGGTTTTATGGCCATAGTTTTTATTCCACAGCTGTCTAAGCAGTTCTAGAATTTACCCTCCTCCACTCAGAATATTTTGACATCAACAAGGGAGCTGTTTTTACTCTTCTGTGAAGCTACAATTTGAGATTACCAGAAGCTCCTTGCACCTTTACAACTCTTCTCCTTTCTATCCACAGTTTAATTTAGTTGTTTAGTTTATCGGCATTCTTCAGTCTCAGTCTGTACACTCAAATTAGACTCCGTGTCAAAAGCATCTTTGGGGGGGCTTCGTTGACATGGTATATCCCTTTGGTGTATAGCTCTCACACACACTTCATCTTGTTGGTTTTTTAGTTTTGGAAATTTGACAAACATTGCTAAAGAATTGAAACTTGGTATTTGAGCACAGTACTAATTTACTTGTAGCTCACAGTTGCTATAATATGAAAAGGCCTACATCATTGATTCTCTTTTATTCATAGGTGGCACACATGACTAAAAGTGAAATGCATTTGCATGACACAGCATTCATAGGCCCAGCACTTTTGTTTCTGGACCAATATTTTAACAGCTTTATTGATGAATATATTGTACTTTGGATTGCCCTGGTAAGTATTGTACTGTGTCCTATATCATGTTATGGAGGCTGCTTGTTTTCTTGTTTCAGTGGGCCAGTCCCCTAGAGACAGATCATATAATTATAATAATTTGGAATGTCAGAAAACCACGCTTATGGGACTTTGTGAGAGTTCCTTGTTTCTTCATCTTTGAGACTTTTTTTTTGCATTATTCTGATTAGTCCTGCCTACATCAGGGTTTATAAATTTCAGATTTCTGACTATAAAGCAGGAGTTGGCAAACTGCTCCCTGTGGACCAATGGCCTGTTTTTGTTAATAAAGTTTTATTGAGACACAGCCATGGCCGTTCATTTACGTGTTGTCTATAACTGCTTTTATGCTACAGTGGCAGAGTTGAGCAGTTGTGACAAAGACAGTATGGTCCACAAAGCCTAAAATATTTACTGTCTCTCTAGGAGTTTGTTGATCCCTGGTGTAAAGAAAAAATCTGTGAGGAAATTGAGTTATTAAAGTGTATGGACTTGAAGGTGAATCTGAAGAGAAAAGAAGTCAGAAGCCACTCTTCTTCACTTTCAGGAAGTTTAGGGATGGCCTAAGCAGTTCCTGAGAATCTAATAGTCTTTTCTCTTTCCAGGTCTTCTCTTTCTTTGATTTGATCCGCTACTGTGTCAGTGTTTGCAATCAGATTGCGTCTCACTTGCACATACATGTCTTCAGAATCAAGGTCTCTACAGCTCATTCTAATCATCATTAACAATGTAATTGGTGTTATATAGGAACATGTTTTCTGCAGGAAAGAATCTGAACATATTAAGGAGAATGGGTTGATAAGAACAAATATAATTTATAATAATCAATGTTGTATAACTTTTGTTTTTTGTTATTGTTAACACTCCTTATCTATCCTGTGTGAGAATGGGAATTTCAAGTCCCATTCGTAAGTTGTACATGTTGTCATACAGGATTTGGCCCAAGAAAGCATGCAGGAAAAAATGCTATGTGTTTGTAATTATTCCGGATTCAGAATAAAAATGTCATGGGGAGCAGATCCCCAGTGCTGGAGATTTATAATGTAGAATATTTGCAGGTCAAAAGATGGTTGCTGTATAATTTTAACACATCACCATCTTTTAGTGACATCCTTATTTAGTGTCTTCTCAGTCTTTCTTTACGAAGGAGCTCAGCTTCTGGCACAGATATATCCCACTAGCTTGTGAGGTGGAACTAGTGATAAAGACCTTGAATTTGGATTGAAAGGTTTCCTGTCTTTACATTGAGGAAGTAAGTCATTTTTTTATTGCTCAAGAAATGATCTCTCTCACAAGCTTGAGAAATCCTGTTAGCATGCAGAATAATGTGGTAACTTTGTCGATCTATTTTATTTTTTTAAATAAATATATGATCTGAAAGCCAGCTTTTTTCTCAGTTGTATTCAGTGGAAAGATGAACTAAGTTTTAATGTCATTTTTTAAAATTTAAGCAAAATTTATTTCTGTTCTTTAATAAATAAGGAAGTTCATGGGCCAGCCCAGTGACGTAGTGGTCAAGTTCGTGTGCTCCGCTTTGGCGGCCCGGGGTTTGCAGGTTCAGATCCCGGGTGCGGACCAATCGATGTACCACTTGTCAGGCCACGCTGTGGCAGCATCCCGTATAAAGTAGAGGAAGATGGGCACAGATGTTAACCCAGGGCCAATCTTCCTCAGCGAAAAAAGAAGAGGATTGGCAACGGATGTTAGCTCAGAGCTACTCTTCCTCACAAAAAAAATAAAAATAAAAATAAAAAAATAAGGAAGTTCGGTCAGCTTCATTGTTGTTATGTGTCCTGTGATCTTTCTATTTTGTATGAACTGTTTAACCTAAAACATAGAACTGTGTTCATTTTTCCTCTTGATAGGTTTTTTTGTTGTAGTTGTTACCCCTGAGATTATGAGTCTTTTAGGAATGGCAAACCCTTCCCCAAAATTTTAAGTAAGAGAGTCCTTGCCTCTCCAGGCAATTATTGGAAATTTGCAGTCTTTCTGGCTACTCATTATCTATACTACAGTTTGAAATGAGAACCAGGTGTCCTCAGTAACTATAAACCAGATTTGTTTCCATTGTATATAGATAATTCAGTTGCTTGAATGAAGAGGGAGACAGAAGAAAAGGTTTAAACTATTGGCTAAAATGAAGTATCTTATTATTGATTTTTATTTATACCTTGTTTCCATAATCATGGATAAACAATAGCTGTACTGCCTTGCCTGGCAGCCAGAACTCTGCTTTCTTGCACTTTTAATGGTTCCATCAGTCCCATGTAATCTGGATTAGCAATGACAATGAAATCTTTAATTTCTTTGTTAGACTGTAGCAGCAAAGGGAAATCTCTCATGACCTTTGCTTGCTAGCAACTTCTCCAGCATCTGGGGTAGAGAAGTGCATGCAGGAAAATGCTAGGGCAGATCAAGTTTTGAAAGCTGGGACAAATCAGGAAAGAGAAGGAAGGATAATTCTACTTCTTTGGCACAGTTACATCTATTGTCTTATTTGATTATTACAAAAGACACAGCAGATGTTAATTACCTACAGTGGAAATTGGGGTCTGGAGAGGCTAAAAGGCATACCAATGTCACACAGTTGCTGCTGTTCTGAATGGGGACTAGAATCTAGATCTTCTGAATGCTGGTCCATCTCCTACATCATACTAGGTTTTAGCAGGCTAAAGCTGTAAATCAAGATGCTATAATCTTTTTCAGCCTAAAGGGAACCTGGAAAATGCTCTGGTATTTGGTTTGATAGATACTGTCCATGGTGATGGTGGTGGAGACCATCAGCATCAGGTCAAGGGCACATTTATAGTAAACCTCAGCTGGCCCTGATTCTTCTTGTGATCACGTACCTGGTTAGGTATCAAATTTACCTGAAGAAGCTTTAAAAAATATAGGCTCCCAGGTCCTATCTCTAGAGATAACTTAGTAGGTTTGGAAGGGGGCCTCAAAGTATTTTCGTTAGCTTCCTAGGATTCCAGTCCTTGTCCTAAAACCTTTTGAGGTACAACTGGGTTTAGGAACCACTGCCATAAACTACCTAAAAAGGTGCAACGCCTCTTAGAAGCTCTGAAGAGTAGTAGTGTAGTTAGGGGTGGCATGTGGAGAGTGGAATATCTGCCACCTGCAGTAGGTCTCTTTGTCCCCCAAATCAAATTACATTGGCTTTAACTTCAATTTGGTAACCCCAGCCCCCATCCCACCCTCCAAAAACATTTGTGTTCTTTGTATAGAATTCAGAGGCCTCTGAGGGCCACACTCATAGACATACATTAAAAAGATGGAATTTTTTTTTTTTTACAGTTTTATTTATTGTGTGTGTGTGTGTGTGTGAGAGGAAGATCAGCCCTGAGCTAACATCCATGCTAATCCTCTTTTTGCTGAGGAAGACCAGCTCTGAGCTAACATCTATCCCCAATCCTCCTCCTTTTTTTTTTTTTCTCCGCAAAGCCCCAGTAGATAGTTGTATGTCATAGTTGCACATCCTTCTAGTTGCTGCATGTGGGACGCGGCCTCAGCATGGCCGGAGAAGTGGTGCGTTGGTGCACGCCCGGGATCTGAACCCGGGCCGCCAGCAGCGGAGCGCGCACACTTAACCGCTAAGCCACGGGGCCGGCCCAAAAAGATGGAATTTTTGAAAGACAAGATGCTTCCAAAAGTTTCCCATCCCTAACAGTGTTTAAACAGAAGCTATCAGTGGAGGCATGGAGGGAAGATGGACTAGGTGATCACTCAACTCCTTTGGACTCGTAAGATTATGATTCTCTTTTCTCAAAGGGAAAAAATATCAATGCAGGGATCTGTCCACCTTTAGCTAAGGAGTTGAGCTGGGCTTCTCAGAATAATGAAGTAGGAAGTAGGATGTCTAAAACTTAGGTTCCAGACTGGAAGTGATGAGCAGACAAACCTATTTATACAAGCAATGTAGTATTCTTCCTGGCTTCTGTTAACTGCATTCCTACCCTCAAGTTACCCTACACTGCAAATGCTTCCCTCTGGCTAGCAGCCTTTCCTCCCAGGATTCTGGGAAGCACACTTGACTGGAACCAAGAACTGCGGCCCTGTCCCCAGTACTGTTGCTTTTAGCAGTATCCCCTCCCCTTCCTATCAGAAGTGGAGCTGCTGACGCCTGTAATGCTGCCGCTCCAAACAAAGCCCCCAAGTTCTGGGCCGCTATGACCAGGGCCTCCACTTCTGGTCCAGGTTGTTCTCACATCTCATTGCTTTGTTTTCCTGGTTCTCCCCCCTACAGTGAAAGCCAAAAATACATACAAACAACAAGATTTTCATCTTTATTGTTACTGTCACATGTCCACAGACCTCTTTTTTTATGTGGAGAGACTGAGCCTTTGGCCACAACTGCTTTCTCTGTTGAGGATTTTGGAATAGTGGTTCCTGGGAGAGGGCAGTTACAGCAACTTCTACGTCTCTACAACACCTGTACTACTGTTCCCTGCTCTATGTCACCTCTGCAGAAAATGGCAGCTTTGAGCCCAGCTCTGTGAACACAGAGCTCAGAGCCTTCCAAAGTCCTGAGAAAGCTGATTCCAGGGATCCCAAACTCAAGACACCAGCTTGAAGCAACACCTGGTTACCAGGACTCAGAAGGCGGCTGTGGATTCTGGGGGCTGAGAGCTTCACCGATCCTACCATGCTGGCAGGGGCCAAAGTCCAAAACTGGCCTATACGTCTAGTCCCTCCTGTTCACCACAGCTCTTATTTCACAGTCTTTTCTCTTGGTTTCTTCTGTTTCTTCTGTTCTTCATATTCAAGTATTTTCTGTTGGAAGTAGCCTGTGGGTTCAGATACGGGTGTTAGAGGCGTCTCATCTGTCCAGGCGCACTATGGAGCAAGGATTAGAAATACCCTCGGTCTGCTTTCCATGCTCCCCTGCCACACCCACGTTCCTGCCAGGATTCCCATGCCCTCACAGGCCTCTGGAGATCCAGGAATTCAGTTTGGCCGTAAAAGAGGCCTACAAACAAAGAATCATTAGTAGGAATTAGCTCCAGACTAAAACAAAGAGCAAAGGGCCTTCTGCTGGCTGATAAATAGAGCAACTTCTACAAAATGTCAGCCCAGGAGGCCTTTTCTTTGGCTTCAGGTTATTTCTTTGGAACCACACTGATAAGATTATAGCTACTTTGTGGGCCTCTAGAGAGAAATGCTCTTTCCTCTCCCCCTCTTTATCCTAGGGCCACAGCTGACTTGGAGGCAGTGACCCTCTCCCAGCTTAAGATTGATAGGGGGCTGTCGGTGTATACCTGCAGGAGGGTTCTTGCTCTTCTCGGCTTCCTGGATGAAAAGGGAGAAGAGCTGTGTCTTCACAAACTTCTTCACGAATCGCCGGTTGGCCTTGGAGGGCAGAGCCTTATAGAAGGCCCGTTCTTGGAAATGGCCTTGCCCATTTGCATCCCGCTTGATGTAGGAAGCATAGTGGCCCACAGTCTTGACAAAGAACTGCACAAAAGGGCCTGAAACATGCTCGTTGATTTGTTCCAAAGCTGCAGGGGGCAACAGAGGCCGTCTCAGAGGGTAGCAGAAGGATGAAACTACCCACTCTTACCTCCAAGGGGCTTTTATTGCAGGCTGAAAGCTCCTGGGGAAGGGGTGGGGTAGGGTTCATAGTTACTGATGGACTGACTAAAATGGGAGACTGGGTATGGGTTCTCCACCATTGCTTAGGAAGAATAAAGTCACCAACTCAGACTTGCCCTAGAATCTAGGCCTCTGGGACTGGCCCAGGACTGCTGAGTGAGTTCATTTTAGTCCTGGAAGGGAATGGTTGGGAATCATGCCCTCAAGTTCTTTGGAGAAACCCCAAATAAGACGGGCCTAGGACTTACTCTGTAACTCATTGATCCTCTGGCTAAGAGAGTCTAGGATGTCCTCCTGAAGTTTGGGTGGTAGGATGTCTTTTTCGTCACCAACCTAGGAGAGGACAGAGTCAGCTCAGGTCAAGCAGTCAAGGAGGAGGTGTGAAGTGTTGGTAGAGAGCATGAGGAAGGTGTGAATTCTACACCCGTCCTCCACCCCCGAATAATTGGCCACATAGGAGAGAAACAACAGAAGCTGTTTCTTGGTCCTCGGTTTGACTCTAAACATTAGCAAGTCTCTCTATCCCTGTGGTACTTGATGTATACCCTTGCTCCAAAGGCACTAACACTCATTGCTTTGTTGTAAGTCATCTGTCTTTGTCATGGCTCCTTGAGAGAGGAGAGGTCTTATTAGCATGGGTTCTCACTCAACAAAGTACTTAAAGTTTGTTGAAATAAGCAGAACATGGATCAAGTTGGTGGTGGGCCTGCAGGGGACCTGAACCCAGATACTTACTGACATTAAGAAGGTTCCTTCACAAAGGTTCACCAACAGGACCTGAAATAAACACAGAACGGCTTTATCTCTTCCCCTTTCTTCACAGACCTCAGGAGGACTTACCATCTCCATTTCTGTCTTGGGCTATGCCTTTCAGCCCAAGTAGCAACAAAATCAGCATCTTCAATTCTCATTTCCTGTCTGACACTCTCCTTCCTCACTATTCCCCTCTTTGGAAATCGCAGTTCCCTTCCTGGGTATCAAAGGGTATGAGGGTGTAGGAAGGGGGAGAAGGGAGAGAGCTAAGGGAGAAGGGGAATACAATATAGGGAAATCATAGCCAGTCACTTCCTCAATAAAACGTTGATAATCGTCATTGCTTTTATATATGGAACATTTAGTACATGGCACACACGATAGGTGCTCTGTACATTTTATCTCATTTAATCCTCCCAACAGCCCTGCAGAGGTAAGTACTATCCCTATTTTGCAGTTGAGGAAATAGACTCAAAAAAGTGAAGTTGCCTGAGGTCATAATGCTAACAAATAGTATAAGTTTCCAAGCCTCCATTGTGCTGTCCTTGGGATGGCATCCCTCTCCCTACAGCTCTCCTTCAACTCTCTGCCCTCTGGTCAGCTTTAGGACAGGGATGGACCTCTTTTGATCTTTAATGCTTGCAACAGCTTTATGTACAATCACCTGGAATTCTATTTTAAAAACTCTCTCAGAGCTTCCTTCCCACAGGAAACAACAAGAGAAGGAAATTAGCCCAGGGTCTGCAGGAAGAGGGAAGGAAAGACAGTGAGGAGACCATGTGTCTACAGGCTGTAGACAAGCACAGGCTGGAACCAGGGGGCCTGAGTTGTGTACCAGCTCCATCACTGCCTGAAGGGCCTGCAGTCTAGACCGGAGATGACAAATAGGCATCTGCTGGTTGGGCCTGTTTGATTCTCAGAGTGTTTTAAAATAATCGAATTTGTTTCCAATACAGTCATGTGCCGCATAACAACATTGCAGTCAACGACGGTGATCCCATAAGATTAAGTACCACATAGCTTAGGTGTGTAGTAGGCTATACCATCTAGGTTTGTGTAAGTACTCTCTGGTGTTCACACAACAAAATCGCCTAACAATGCATTTCTCAGAACGTATCCCCGTTGTTAAGCAACACATGGCTGTATTTAAATTGGAAAATTTCACATAAAATTTGGATATGGGGCTTCTCCTGAAAAGTCAGGAACTCAAACACTGGTCCACATTTCTAAAGGACAACATTCAGATGGAACTGAGTGCAGCTGCCCCCTTTAGGCAGGGCATGTGCTCAACAGTTCACCATGTTCCCCCAAAGCCTGTGTTGGCCATTTAAGTGCCTGCTGGGATCTCTTTTCAGTTTGGACCCTTGGTCTTGATAACAGGGTGAATGATCCCTCCATGCTCCCTTCTTCCAAATAAACGGAAAGAGAGGGGCTGGAAAGTGTGCCAAAAGACAGAGCAAGCACTATAATTATCCATCATCAGCAGAGAAAATTTGAACTCATCCAAGCCTGAAACCACTTGTATACCTAGGCTCAAATGCCTTCATTCAGGGAAGGCTATTCATTTAGGGGTTGGGAGCTAAGAGTGTGTGTAAAGAATTTTTTTTGTGAAGTTCCCAAAAATCTTTCTAGTGTTTGGGTAAGTCACTGTCTGTCGAGTAATCCCTTCCAGAGAGCTTATGTGGGGAGTCAGGGAATCCCTCCACACCTACCCAGGCCCCTGGCCCTCCCTGTTCCTCATCCCCTGCCCATTTCACAGAGCAGCTGCTGAGGAATACAATAGGCCAAGGCTCTGGGCTAGCAGGAGCTGGAGTCCGGCTGGCCATAGCTTCCAAGGAGTTGAAGCTGCAGCATCAGGAAGTTTCATAATTTCTGGGGTTGGGACATTTTAAGTCTTATTGCTAAACACGGTCCCAGTTAGTCACAAGGCAAAGGCTCGTTCAAAGGGCGTGTGTACTCAGCAGTTCTGAGGAGGGCTGGGAGGGCTGGGGAAGCAAGGAAGGGAAACAGCCTGCTCCTTTACTTCCCAGCAACTACTTTGTGTAAGAAGGGCTTTGGTTCTGTCTGCGCTAGGTTCTATCATTGCATGTGTGGCCTCGGATAAGTCAGTTGAGTTCTCTGGACCTCAGTTATTTCTTATGTAAAATGGAGGAAATCCTCTCACAAGGGCTGGTTCTGTGACTCTTCAGTAGCTTATTTCTAGACCCCACCTTTCCCCTTGGTAGGCCCTTTGTCTGCACAGAGGGAGTCAATGATTAGCCAGTGCAGATATACCTCAGCAGCTCTGCTGGCTTGAGATCATAGTAACATGCTATCTTCTGGAAGTTCCTACTGACAACTTGAAGCAGAGCACGTGTTTTGAATTGTGCTTCTAACATTGAAGATAGATTTATGCTATTAATGCCCATTTTCACCACTGAGCCCTCAGGTGAGTCTAGGGCACTGCCAAGAAATAAGAAGCTGACAAAATCAAAGGGGATTTGGACCTATATCCTCCTTAGCCAACTGAGCGCTGAGCTAATCAGAAAGATGGCTCTTACTACAAAAATCTGCATTTTCAAAACTCCTAGTTTGCAGGAGGGCTATGTTAGCTCACTTCCAAGGAATGTGAATGAATTCCAGTGGAGTGTGTGTTGTATAGATCAGCTGTGCGCATCCATTCAGATGAGAGATGGGACACCCCAGAGCCTCTCATTTGGACTAGCTGGCCTAGGACAGTTTGATCACCCCTGAATAAGCTATGCGCTTGCTGCCCCTTTAGTCCAAAGGGAAATCATTCAGGAGGAGGGAGCAGACACTTACTGAGCATCAACTCTGTGTCAGGCACCAGGCTAGGAGCTTTATGCAGATTATTTCCCCTAGAATTCCTAGGAACTGCACACCATCATCCCCATTTTACAGATGAGGAAGCTCAGGCTTAAAGAGGTTAAGCAACTTGCCCCAAATCACACAGATGTTAGTCACAGACCTGGGGTCCCAATCCAGGTCTGCCTGGCTCCAAATCATGCCCTCTTCTTGCTGCATCATACCTCTTCCATGGGGCTCTCCATAACCTCCTGCAGAAAGCGCATTTGTACTCCAACCATGAAGGGAGTGGGGCAGCAGACAGTGGCCAGAAGGCTCTCAGGGACAACAGGAATGTAGGTATGTGCCCAGCTGAAGGGGTAGAGCAGCGCGGCCGCAGCATGGATGCACTGAGACAGGGTGCTGGGGACATGGCACAGAGAACAAGAGTCAGAGGGGCCTCCCTGTGCCTCCCCCCTGTGCACCCCCACACAGCCCACCACCGACAGCAGCTGCTACGAGGGCTGCCTGCGCCGATGCAAAAGCAAGTCTGAGAGCCAGGCTGGTCACAGGGCTTGTGACTACTCGGAGCTGGGAGGGGAGGGGCAGAAACCAGGGGAAGCTGAAGCTCCTCTCATCAAGAATGGGGCCTCTGTTTGATCCTTCTTTTCACAGTTATTCTTCTCAAGTCATTACTGGCCAAAAATAAAAGTTGGCTGTGAAGAAAGGAGGGAAGAAGAAATGCTCTCACTCAAACAGATCATTGATTGAGCCCCTTCTGTATGCTCATCACTGTGCTGATGACGTGGAGACAAGGAAGTGGAAGACACCCTGCTTTTAAGGAACTCTCAGTGTAGCCAAAGAGATAAACATGTAAACACTGGGGCGCAGCAGAGAGGCGAAGCCCTATTTCCTCCCCCCAGTCTTTACCGCTCACGGCTCCCTCTGGCCACTCGAGGTTACTTAAAGTTACCAGGTTGGTGCTTGAGTTAGCTTGGGAAATTCCTAGGTTCCAGGAACCTCTGCCCAGTAATTCCTACCCGGAAAGTCCCACAGAGGTGGCTCGTCTACCCTTTCCAATGAAGCATTCCCTGTGTAATCACTGCCTAAGTCACAGCTCAGGCCCCACTCCTCACCACCCACCCCCCCACACACACAGACACAACTCCACACTCTGTCTTCTCTATTCTCCGCTACCTTTCATGGCTCTTCATTTCTCCAAATTGCCCCCAAACCAAGGCCAATAAAAACACAGATGCGGAAACCTTGTTTCAATTCCTAGTATCAAGCTAGCACTTCCTGAGTTAGAAAGATTGAGTCTCTGAGAGTCTAGCCAAGGCTTAGGTTGCCTGGAAGTCCCCTCCCTGCCTGCGCTTCAGGGATCTGACAACTCAGTGTGGGAAGGAAATGGGGGGCGGTGGGATCTCCCTGGAAAAAGTCAACGCCTGAGAGGTAAGTCCTGCCAGCCTTTGCCTGTGTCCAGGCCAGCTGACACCTGGAGTCACCTTCACTTCCTAAACACTGACCTTAGTGGGAAAGGCCAGAATCCCAGCTCCAGCTGCAACAGAAACTTCTCATTTCCCTACAGGGCTGAGAGTGGGAGAGCTATTCCTAAAACAAAAGATTATACCACTTCCCTCAAGGATTGGCCTACAACTAGTGACTTTTTGGTTATCACTGATTTTTATAGAATTTTCAACCCACAGACCCCATTCCCTGCCCAAGCTTCCTTTCCTGTGAAACCCATGACATACACCTGACCCTATGGCCTAACATTTGGGTCCCTAACATCCCCTTTCTTCCTCTCTTCCCTGAAAGAGAGAACCAGAGTTGTCAGCCCAATATCATTAGCTTTCTCCCTCCCCAGACATGAACAGAAGGCCAACCTCTGTTTAATTTTTTTTTTTTTCTTCTCCATTCTGTCACATGTCTCCTCATGTCTTTCTCAGACTTGAAGCTCCTAAGAGGTAGAGACCAGGACATGACAGTACCCTGCTTCAACTAAACACAGGGATATATTCAATTGTGAACTTATTATTAAGAATAACAGCTAGCACTTACCAATGTGTGCCTGGCAGGGTGCTATGTACCTAATGTGCATTATTTAATTTAATCCTCACCACAACCTTATGAGGTAGGTTATCTCCATTTTACACATAAGAAGGTCATGACTTCAAAAGTTAAGAAACTAACCTAAGAGGAACCACACAGCTAAGGGTGGAAGAACAGGACTTGAACCTTGTTCTGCTGATTTCAACACCTATGCTTTCAACCAGTGCACAATTCTACATCCCTTTGAGGCCAAGGACCGTGTCTTATTTGTCTGTATCTTCCCAATGCTTGGCATCTGGCAAACAGTTGACACATGATACATGTTTGTTGAATGAGTGAGTAAATGGATAGATGAGATGTGTTTGCTGTTGAGGATGCTGGGCTTGACCTTCATACCATTATCCGCCTTCCTGCCCTGTCCTCGCGCTGCTTCCCTCCCTCAGCCTCTCAAGAGCAGAGTCATATCTGCATTCACCCTAATTGGTCTCCGCCTGGACTGTCCCAGGAACACTTCATGCCCTTACTCAGAACTAAATCAGGAGCATTCTTCAGGCTTAGGCAGCCATCAAGTTTGGAGGCAGAAGCAGGAGAATTGCAACAGCTGTTTGTCTAGACAGTGCAGATCAAGACCTCGAGGCAGGAGGGTGGGCGCATGGGTCCCACAGCCTGATTTCCTCTGAGGACTCTCCAATCTGTCCCCTTGAACCCAGGGATGCCAGTCAGTTCAGGGGACCCACTCAATGCTGGACCCACCTGAGACCTTCTGCCAGGAAGATGATTTTTCTCTCCAGCACTGCAGAGGCAAAGATCTGAAGAATCTGCTCGAAACGGAGGCAGTGTAACAGAGAACTAAAATCCACATGTTCTAGGTGGGAGTCCAGGGGCCGTGTGAGTGAGATGAACTGTGGGGAAACCAGAGAGAGGGGGTGTCACCACACTGAAAAATCATGCAGCCCCTAAAATGCTGGGCCTCTACCAGCCTCCACTCCATTCTCCCAACAGGAGTAAATCTGACCCTGTCTCTCCCCTGCTAAAACCCATCCACAGTTTCCCTCTGCTCTGAGGATAACACTGACATCATCCCTGGCAGGGCCCACCAGGTCCTGCCTCCCTCACTAGCCTCACTGAGCGCGCTCCACTGCGCTCACTGTGACGCCACGGCAATCCTTTATGTTCTTTGAGCACATCACGTTCTTCCTGCCTGAGGTCCTTCACAGGTTAGGCCCTCCCCCGGACTGCTCTTCTCCCCTCACTCTCATCCTCCTTTATGTTTCGGAGGCCTTCCTGGACCACCTAATGTGACCTATATCTCCCATCATTTTCTCACGTAGCATCCTGTTTTTTTCCTTTCATCACAATCATATGATTTTTAATTATAGATTTATTTGTGTGTTTTCTTATTTAATGTCTGTCTCCCCCCCTAGATGTTTAGCTCCATAAGGTCAGGGACCATGTTCATTTTATTCACCACTTTATATCCAGAAAATACTATAGCCTGGCACATGGCAAACATTACATACTTATTTTTTGAATAAGTGAAAAAGCCTAGCCCCTCCCTTTATTTTCGTAGCAGGAAGCCAAGGTTCAGAGGGACACATAGCTTATCCAGAGTACCAGGGATCAGGACTGTAATTTTTAAAACAATGTTCTATTTGCTGCCTCCGTCTGCTTAGTGCCTTAAAACAATGGCATCCCCGTGTGGCACGGGTGGGGACTCAGGGGTGGGGATAGGTGATAAGAAATAGACAGATGGCGGCCATAAGGTAGGGATAGAGGACAGACACAGGAACCTAAGGGTGGTAATGGGAAACAGTGGCAGTTTGGGGGCTGGGCTAGTGGCAAAGTCCATTCTAGCACCAGGAACCTCAGCTTACATGGTTTATTTATTATAAATAAAAGTCTTGGTGGCTTGAACAGTAACTACATCCTTGTGAGCATCGGGTTGGGAGGATCAGAAGATTTGGGTTTGATTTTCAGTTCTGTCAATAATTCTAGTCAAGTCCCAGTCCCTGCCTGGGCTCCGTTTCTCTATATATTAACCTGGTGAAGGGAAGGACCGTGAGGAGAGGGGCCACAGAAGTCTTCCCCCTCCAGTCAGGGAAGGTCTCACCCGTTTTGCTAACCCACCTCAGTGCCCGAGTCGGGGATGAAGCTCTTGAGGGTGACAGTCTTCCCAGGAGCAGGGAAGGCTGCCTCTCGGAGACCCTGCATGAACGGGTAGATGACTGCCATGGATATCTGATGCCTCTTCTCCACTTCATCCAGGATCTGCACAGAAAAGGACCATGGGAGGCATGGCTCAAAGGGATGCTACTGGGAGGGTGGCAGAGACCCCACGTGTGAGGCTCCCACACTAGTCCAGCCAATCCTCCTGTATCCTTAGGCCCCTCCAACCACTGGTTCTCTCTCCTCCCAGGGAGATACTAGTCTGCTGTTTGTCTTCTGCACAATACCTGCTTTTTCCTGGCCTTCTTCTTTCCATCCTCTCTCTACCAACCTGTATTCCTCCCTTCTCCTAACATCAACATAAACCACCTTCCCCAGGAAGGCATCCCAGAGTAAACTTATCATCCATGACGGTATCATGTTCTTTCTTGCTGGTTGGAGTGGGAGCCTAGAAGGCTGGGCCTCTTGGGTGCCACTCTGTCCTCCAACTTCCACTGGAGACTCCCCAGGGCTAGGACTGCCTCCATCCATCAGAGCCCTGCTCAGATAAATACTTGACCCAAGCAAAGGCTCATGGAATTTCCTCCCTTCATCCTCCAAGGGGCCTGCTGGGGGCAGAGTACACTGAAGCTCTTTCGTGGCCATTAAGATATGCCCCATCCATTCTGAGAGACTCCGCTCTGATCCCAACTCAGGTGTACTGGCACTCAGATTTGCTCCAGCAAGAGAAGTCCTGGAGGCCTCAACTTCTCTTCTATTCTGGAAGGAGTCAGAGGGAGTCTCGGGACCCCCATAGTATAATAATTATCTTCATGTCTGTTTAGTGCTCTGCCTTTCTCATATATCACCTCATCTGAGCCTCACAGCAGCCCGTGAGATGGGAAGGTGAGGGATCATCACATGTATTTGACAGATGGGGAAAATGAATCTTGGGCAAGTCTCCTGAAGCTCCGGATTCTTAACCCGGGGTTCTTCCCACCGTCCTGCTCCAATTGCTTTCTCACCTGAGTAGAGTGGAAGCAGTGGGTCTCTCAGCAGGGGAGAGAGTCCCATGGGTTCTGTTCCCACCTTTCCCTAAAATCAAGTTGAGGCCAAGCCGCTCTCTGCCTCAGTTTCCCCAGTGTGCCTCTGCTGACCCTGGCTGTGAGGGAAGAACTCCACTAAGGGCTCAGGGAGCACAGGCAGGGCAGGCAGACCGGGAAGCTGGACAGGCCGAACAGGCCCCTGAGGCACCCATTCCAGCCCTACCTTGGAGAACAAGCCAAAGCAGCCGATGCAGCTGATGATGCAGTACACCTTGGGAAGGCGAGGGCCACGGCCGGCGGGCTGGGGACGGACAGAGAGCCTCCTTCAGTGCTGCAGCCTCCCTGGGGCCTTTGCCCAACTGGGGCTCATGGGGCACAAGGCTGGTGGCTGGGGCTGGGGGATTTATGGTAAATGGTGGGCCGGATAGAGAAAGGCCTGGCTGTGTGGAGGTCACATTCATGGGACAGGCAGTAGGGAGGCCAGAGGGACCACCAAAACCAGAAGATGGCCTTGAGGGGCTGGGTGGGCTCACTAGGAAGCACTGCCACCATCAGCGCCAACGCCATCTAGGGTCAGCAAAGAGTGGAAGCAAGTGTGCTATAGAGATGAGGCAGTAGCTAGGGAGCAGGGCCCTGGAAAAGTGACTCGGAGAGACCCAAGGAATGAACCTAGTTGTCCAAATCCCATTCTATGCTCTGCAAGGCTCCAGGGGCCATGGCAACAAGGCCTGGATAGAGAAGGTGGAGAGTGGCTTTGGTTGGAGCCTCCCACAGAGGGGAGCTGTTGAAAGCCGGGGAGAGCACAGACCAAAGCATGGTCAGCAAAGGTCCCCTGGGTGGGTAAGGAGGGGCGTGTGTCCCCGTTCTTGTGGGGTTGTTGAGGGCACTACCATGGCAGCAGGTGCTGGGCTGTGCTCTCTCTACAACCACCACTGCCAGGGAGCCTTGGCTTTTGCAGCTGAGGCTTGAGCAAGCCCAGCCGTGGAGCCGAGCAGGCTGCAGAGAAGAGGGGGCAGTTCTGAGCTGCACAGACCAAGAGGCGCCTGCAGTATCCAATCTTCCTGCTCCCATCCACATTGGTCAGGACGAAGGAGAAGGTCTCCCTGAGGAAGAGCAGACAAGACCTGGTTTGTATTTGCTCACAAGATTCTAAAACCAGAAGGTGGTCAGCATCAGAGGGTGCTGAGGTGGGTGAACTGAGCAAAGGGAGCTGCTGATTAATCACGAGAGTAGTAACAAAACCAGTAACCTATTAAGTGCTTACTGGTGTCAAGCTCTAAATGCAACATCTTATTTAATTCTCAGAACAACCCTTTGAGGTGGGTTCAATTATTATCCCCACTTTAAAGATGAAGGAACTGAGGCTCGGAGAAGGTGTTTCTTACCAAGGTCATTCCACACATAAGTGGTAAAGCCAAAATTCGAGCTCAGGCAGGCAAATTTCAGGGCTCAGGCTATAGGGGACTTTGCTCTACCGCCTTCTTCGAGGTCAAAAGCCTTCTTCTAAGTCCAGCTTCTGCCAGTGGCAGAGTCAAAACACAGCGACTCTCAGTCCTATGACAGGTGAGAGAATCTCGCCCTTCTCTGGACAGAGGTGACTGGTCAACCGGGTTAGCTAAGATCCCTGGTCTTAAGGGACCCCAGGCAAGAAATTTATAAATGAATCCACTCCAGTCCCTCCCTATCAGGAGGGAAGCTGGCGAGACGTCAGCATACACACCAAGGGAGGGGCCACAGGAACTACAGTGCTAACACTTGTCCCTTCTCCCCCAATCCAAGATTCCCCCGTCCCAGGACCAATCAATTACCTGGGGTACTCAGTGAGTGGTGCCCACTCATTCCCATCTGGGAAGCAAAACAAGGGGATGGCTCCAAGCAGCCGTTCCTCCTCCTCCTGTTGGCCCCGAAGCAAGTTCTCCCGCTACAAGGAATAGGAAAAGAGACAAGGGGATGGTGGAGGGAAGGGCAGGAGGAGAGGGCTGGTGGGCTGGTGGGCTTCTTTGAGGCTCTAAAGCACTCTGAGAATAAGCTTTTCCACGGACACGGGGCTCAAAGTGTGCCTCCGCCTGTCACTCTGCACAGGGACTTCATTCTGAGTCTGGCTGGAACGACCCCAAGGCTGAAATAGACCCTCCTGGGCCACACTGAACCTGAGTTGGACTTCAGTATCCTGAGGATCTACAGGGTCAAGAAGGGGGCCAGGGCCACACTGACTACAGAAAGGCCCAGAGACTGCCTTGCTTCCTGGGAGGACCACATCAGAGAGGCACCACATCAGAGACGAGAAGTGGCCAGCTCAGTTGCCGCACTGTCAGGATTAACGAGAAGGATGTCATATCCCTGCCCCTTCACCAAGTGCAGGACCAGACAAGAAGGAGCCTGATGCTTGGGCTGTGGCCACATGCTGAGCCTGCCCACCAGCTGCGTGCCTGCCCCACCCTCTCCTTCTGATCTATCCCAGGGAGGGGACTCCTGCAAGGAGCTTTGGCAGAAGGTAAGCGTCTCTACAGAGAAGGGTGACTGAGGATGGAATTTGGACTAACTAGGAGGTTTCAAAAGGGGCAAAAGAACTAGCCTAGCTTCTCGGCTGGGGAGCCTAGGTCAGTTCCCCACAAAGAAGCCAGACCTAGATTCTGTGGGTGATAACAGAAAACAGGGCTGGGCCTGAAGGAAAGAGGAGCAGCCGGCTCAGGGCAGCTCCAGACTCAAGCCCAGCAGGGTGGGGAGGGGGAGAGGGCACCCCCCACACCTCTCAAATACCCAATCCTCTGTCTCCCCTTGCCTCCGCCTCAGTCCTTACCTTGGGAAACTGGTAGGTGATCGTGGGCTCATAATCATCCCCTGAACGTTTTTTTTTGAGGGAAACCACAAGGAGGTATTCAAAGAAGTGCTGCCCTCCAGCAAAGTTGGGCAGACAGTGCTCCTGGGCTCTTTCTGGTTCCTTTACATCTTCCCCCAGATTGTCCTGGGGAGGTCCTGAAACCAAGACACCAGGGCCCATTTGGTATCTCATTGATTCGTGCCCCAAGTAGAGTCTGTGAGGCTCCCAGCAACTTCCGCACCTTAAGGCCGCCATGCCAACGCTGAGGTCCCTGGAGCCTGCCCAGCTCCTCAGGTCCTAGAGCAGGATCAGAGCCAACTGGGCAGTTTCCGTGCCTGCCCTGGGAGACTTGAAACAATGAGGAGCCAAGAGGAGGAAAGAAGATGAGCCAAGAGGCGGAAAGAAACCAACGATTTGGAAGCCAAGGAACTGTACCAGGGAGGCCACCTGGGAGATCCTATGCCCCAGAGGACTGCAGAGACTCTGCCTAGCCATACGGGGCCCGGAGCAGTACCTGGAACATGTGCCCTGACTTGATTTGTACTCAGTAAATCAGAACAGGCCCAAGGGCATGGGGCCATGACCACAACAACCCCCACAGAGGGCATGACAGGCTCTCAAAACCAACAGGGGAAACCTCCTGGCCCAGTCACATGGGGACCGGGAAGAGGTTGAGATATAAAAGGAAGAGGAGGAAGAAGCATTTCAGGGAAGAAACAGCCCCCTGAAAGAGAGTTACCCTGGAAAAAAGGAAGTGGGCAATCCAGTCCAGACCTGCTCGGAGTCGAGGCAGCCGGTTGCGGAAGAGCCTGAACATCCCGCCTACTACTTGTCCCTCCATCTTCTCAGACCTGCAGGGCATGGAGTGCTTCCCTTTCCTCCAACACAGACTGGCTACAGAAAGCCTGAGAAAGGGGCTGCCGCTTCAGTCTCCAGCCACAGCTCTATGAAACCACGCCACACGCTGTCTTCCAAATACGGGAGAGCAGTTTCCATCCTGTGCACCCAATGGTCGAGCAGGAAGGATGTGACAGGACCCAGGAAGGCAGCAGAACGCCGGCACTGACAGAGGCAGCATCCTGGCAGGCAGCTCAGACCTCAGCTCCTCCCAGGAGCCCCAGGGTGTGGGGAGAGAAAAGGTCACGAGCAAACACCTCCAAGGCCCAGCTGCTTCTGGGCTAAGAGCTTTGAATTCTGGGCTGCGGATTGTGCAATGGTTTTATTTACAACCTTGGGACAGTGAAGAATGCTGGATAGCATCAGACTGTGGGCACTGGAACCTCGCCAGCCCCTGGACAGGGATTTTTATATCCCCATAACTTTGATTCCTGACCTTTCAATTCTCAACTTGGTCAACAGCAGCCAAAAACCCCTGCAAGGCACCTGCTGCACTCTGGAACTTCCAGGACTTCAGGGCTGCAAGCAAGAGACAGTCCACAGCCAAGATGCCACTGCCTCCCCTGATTAAGATCAATAGACTTGGCCCGTTAATTATCTAAACGGAGAAATTGTTCTAGCAAGAGGGAGTCCCGGAAATCAATACAAACATAAAAGCCTCCTCTTCTGGTGGTGCAATAGAAAGAAAGTCCATCTCTGAGCTGGAGAGTTCCTGATATTTCAAGACCATCTACAGTGGTGCTTCCCTCACCCTTTGCAACACGTCGCAAGACTGACTTCTCTCACTGAGACCTGTTCCAGGGCTCCAGCAAAGAATCCCTCTTCTCATATAGGAAGCGCTGACTCAGGACATTCTCCCTGGCCTATGGTAAGGGACTGGTTGCATCAGCAGCCTGAGGGTCACTCAGCGGCAGCGGAAAACATCCGGGTGATCTCCACCCCACCCCCACTCCTGCTGAGTCTTCTTTCCCTGTTGGGCCAGGTCAATAGTTCTGCCCAAGCTCAACTCAGAGCAGCTGGCCTCTGGGGCTTTAGTGGAGTCTAGAGGCTATGTCTGGAGGCTGGGGAAAAGAGAAAGAATAGCAATAAGTCACCCAGGAGTCTCACATAAACCCTTAAATGAGTAGATACACGGGGGGAAGAGAGAAGGACTTCTGCCGGGAAGCTGCCCCTAAGAGGAGCCAGGAGGCAAAAGGGTTTGGTGCCAGTGTCTGCCATTCCTGCAAGAATTAGAGCCCTCCAGAAGAAAGTGGAGTGCTGGAATAGGGGAGACAGCTGCCTTGCTCTTAAGAGCTCCAGACCTGGCTTCTGTGGGGCTAGCAAAAGCCAGTACTCAGTCGCCCAGCCATGAGTCCCAGGGAGAACCCCAATCACAGTTAATAAGGATGTAATGGTGAGAACACTGACCCAGAACACTGGGAACCATCACCACGCCTTACTCACAACTTGCACACACTTGTTGCTCAATCCTCATCACCTGTCTGAGGAACAAGCTGATACAGATGGGGAAACTGAGGCACGGGGTGATTCAGGGACTATTTAGAGACTGTTAACAGAATCTGCTGGGGGTGAGAATTATGAGAGTCCTCTGTCCATGCTCCTGCCTTCTGGATGCAGTACACAGCACACATCCCACAGATGCGGGATGCCTCCTGTTTGCAAAGGACTTTGAGAACCCAGTCTTTTCACTGATCATTCCAGAACCTCAGGAAATTATTCCCTTCCCTAAATACTTTGGGTTGCATTTTCAGCCCATTCCCTCATGCTTTATGCGGAGAGCCAAGAGAACAGCAAAACGCACAAACTCAAACAAAAAAAGTTACTAGCCTTTTGGGCTGAGGCCCAAGAAAAAGATTGCCTTCTCCCCCCTTTCAAAGGGGGTTATCAACAGAAGAGAAAACATCCATCAAACACATGTTTAAGATCAGCCATCTCATTGAATCCCCAGTGCCCTAGAAAGGAATTATTATGAGTTTTTTGCTGAGGAGGGAGCTACCTTTTCTAGGGAAGTCGGGCATCTGGTTACACTTGTTCCTCCACCTGGAAGCCCCTCCCACAGCGACCTGACGCAAGTCCCAGAACCAGCTAGAATATAGGTGAGAGGACATTCTGGAACCTCCATCGGGAAAGCTGGCCCTTCCTCTTCTAGCTCAGCTGCTCTCAACCCAGAGCCACCACCACTGCCACTCCGCCCACCACGATGATTTACACATGTGTATACACACACACACACCACACACACACCCTTCTACCACACAATTACCCTGGGACCAAAAGGGCAAAAGAGGGAGGGGAATTCCCCAGGAAGGTGGAGGATGGTACAGAAGAGGAAGAGGGCACACTGTCCTGGACTGACAGGTGCCAGAGCTCAGGACAGGAAATCCTGGCTGCTCATCTTGCAGTTCCTCAGTGTCCAGGAAGCTCCTCCAGGCACAATCATCAGCCCTGTTTTGGGGCCAGGTGGGTGGGAACAACTGGAATGTCTCCTCTGGGCTGCAGGGAGCAGCCCCTTTCCTTTTGCACAGACTTCTGAGGGTTGAGGGAGACCAGGAAAGACCAGGCCAGTGCTCTCCAGAAAAGAGAGGACCCCAGCCCCACCCTGCATTCTGCTCTGGCACTGCACAGTCCCGGGCCTCTACCCCCGCCCATGGTCTCTGACTTCTCTGCTTTGGCGTGGGTGGAATGACCAGATACTGGAAACCTGTGTTTAGGAAGAACAGCAAGGGGGGCAGGGGTGATGGCAGAAGGGACACTGATCTCACCCCCACATCTCCCCAACTCTGGGGCTTGGAGCAGGAGGGGGTCTCACTCAACCTTTTGACTTGCCAGTGTTAGAAGGGGTGGGCTGTCTGAGAATGACCTCTGCTTATTTTTCAATCAGCTGTTTTCTCCTCAGAAGGTGAGACCTCTGGGCAAAGTATCCAGGGGTTATGACTGCTCGGCAATAGGAGCCACGGGCTAGTGGTAAGCAGCAACAAATGTTTGTTGAATGAATGAAAAAATGAATGAATTCCTGGGCCTCTGCCCGGTGGGGCAAGTGGTTAAGTGTGCACGCTCCGCTTCAGCGGCCAGGAGTTCCCAGGTTCGGATCCTGTGCACGCACCAAAGCACTGCTTGTCAAGCCATGCTGTGGCAGCGTCCCATATATAAGTAGAGCAAGATGGGCACAGATGTTAGCTCAGGGCCAATCTTCTTCAGTAACAAAAAAAAAAAAAGAAAAAAAGAAAAAAGAAAGAGGAGGATTGGCATCGGATGTTAGCTCAGGGCTGATCCTCCTCACAAAAAAAATGGATGAATTCCTAATTGCCTTCCTTCCAACGTCCAGCCCCCCTGCTAAGAACGGAAAATGAATATTGACTTCTAATTTAATCCCCACAACCCTGGAGGAGGAATTATTCCCACTTCACTGATGGGGAGTCAGGGGATACGGGAGGCGCGACTTGGCAGGTTCACACACTCTAAGGAAGCAGCCAAGCAGGCTCTATCCCAAGTCCGCGCTCGGCCACACTCTCCAGGGCTCCTCGCTGCTCTCAGGCGGGGGTGGTAACGTCGGCGGGGAGCCTAGTTTCCGTGGCCCGCGCCTA